AAGTGCAGAACGAAAGCGAAGTTGTTTAATCCAAATATATTTTAAATTAGTTGAAAATACATGCAGGAAAAGGTAATTGGACATCGCCATGTAAAGTAAATGAGTGCGTTGCAGATAATTTAGTGAGAATTTCAATTAGTTATCATTGAAAATAAAGTAGTTTATAAATTACTTTTAAATTAGCTAAGTTTCCTGCAGGGTAATTTCATAATGAGGTAAAATGCATAACAAATGAAACTTCAACTAAAAGTACTAATTATGCAAATTATGGTTGATTTAAAATTTTCTTTGCCGCCTTTGCGTTCATATAACAAATAAACACTTTTTTTAAGTGGAAGAAAACCGCGACATTTTCGGAAAAAAATTTTAAAACGAAAATTTTAGCCACTTGAAACTTGCACTAACTACAATTGAGAGGGCTACAAAACTGCATACTCAAAATCTAGTTAAAAAGCTCGAAATTTTTACAAAAGTTTGTAGAAATTTTTTTTTGTTATATTACACAAAGTTTGAAACTTTGATTTATTTGGTTTTTGTTAAAGAATCAACTATATTTAAAAAAAATAAACAAATTAATAACAAAAAGAAGTATAATAATTGTGAAAACTTGTCAAAATTTGGAGCGGCAAAATTTTTTTCGACTACTGTATGTGCGTAAACATTATATGCACATTTTTTCCTTAGTTGTTAACTAACTTTATAAAAGTTTGGTTTGGTCTATGACTACATACATAGCTAAATTACACTAAAAAAATAAACAGACTGATTAGTAATATTTCAAAGTACAAATAGGTGGGGAATTTTACGAAATTTCCGGCGAAATTGAGGAATTTCATTGTCGATATCAGGAGTTATCAAAAATGAGTTGGCTACCCTGGTGTGGATTTAGAAATCGTTCTCTTAAGTCTCTTATCTAGCGTAATCCCCAGATATTTGACCTCATCGGAGTATTCAAGCACTGCCCCTCCAAGAGTGAGTCTATGCCTCTTTGGGCGAATGCCCTTGATTTATATCCTTAGGCACTTTTCGAATCCGAAGGCCGAATCCGTGGATTTAAGTTACGGCTTAACTAGCTATGATTTTTTTTTTAATAAATCTAACGAATTTAAGCTCGTTCTCGTTTTGCAGAAATAGCACTTTTATTTCAATCGTATGACTAGACTTGGACATAGATTGGCAATCTTGCAAGAATATGGAAATTGGGATGAAAATAAAAGCAAGAACTATAATCTCTGATCTAAGTAAAAAAAATATTTTCTTATTATCAAGCAATGGTACATACAAACTTACATGTTTATTTTATTGTTTATAACTTGAAAAATCAGAGCACTATCGCATTCTACCAAAAAAAAAAACGAAAAGATCAAGTGCCGTTGATGCGTCAAAACATTTTGTCACGTCCCAGGCGGCGTCGATAATGTCAATAATGCCATTCAACATGCCGCCATGGACTTTGTCGGCTTTGTAGCTTTCAGCAAATACAATCGGAGGTACGGGGGAGCGGTCGGAGACCACAAGTCAGCTGCCGAATTCAAAGAGACTGCGCGAAGTCCTTGACAGCATGTAAAAATGTGGCATCAGTCAGCAGGTTCTTCGCTTATATGCGCTGGATCACAAATTGATTTGGCAACTTTTTCTCACTACTTACATGCATACACGCACATCACCGTATTGACGCTACCCTCACTTTGCAACAATTTGTTGCACACCAGCCAAGTCGTCAGGCTAGCCAGCCGAATGTAATGATCCACGATCGTGGCACAACAAAGCTTTATGTGATCGATTGTGATCGAAACAGCAATTTCGGGAATTTCCGCAGCGGAGCGGAGCTGGGGTGTGGCGGGATTGCGTTGCTTGTCCTTTAATGCTTGATTTCGGCTGCAAAACCAAAATATGTAAAAGCAAAGAAAAAAACAACAACCAGCCAACGAGATTTACGAAAATTATTTGGCACATTTATTCGCGTACGAGGAAAGTGATTACAGAATGCTTTTCTTCCTTTGTTTCGTACCATATGCGCCTACCGCGGGAATGTGACAACCAATTCTCTTCGCTGCATATCGATGATTATGATCCTTTTAAATATAATTATTATAATCGTTAATGATGATCACTTTGAACGCATCGCCTTGATCGACAATCAATGAAGTAAATACGTCGATAATTGTTCGTCGCCGTTGACGAATTTCGAAAATTGTATTTGCGCGTATTTTGTGTGATTTGTAATTTGCTACGGAAAAAAAATTGGAAATTTACCGCTGAGCAGCGGTCGAGATGGAGCCTACGGTGTCATTAGTGTTTTAAGGTGTTTTGGGATGATTTTGTGTATTTTTTCTTTTAGTTGCTTGCTCGTTGTAATGCTGTCGGCCTTTTACAAAGTTGCATATTTGACATTCTCGGTGCTCGGAGATCAAAGGATTGCCGCGGCCGAAAACTATTTGCGGCTTCTGTAGTGCCGCCAAAATTGTCGCAAAATAGTGAAAATTATTAAGTCACGCATATTTCGATGAAATCAGGTTTGATCACTGGAACGTTCGCTCGGTCGATCGATCGAGCTGTTGACACATTGTCAATTTGTATGCAATTTGTTGGTAATTAATTTAAGTACTCGTTCTGAAGGATTTGAACGAAAAATAAATTGTGAGAGGAAATAAGCAAAAGATCATGTTTTTACATACAGCTCAAATGATCTTTCAGTAAAATGAATAGAAATTTATAGTGTTTTAATATTTGTAGGTATTTCAGAAAGTTGTTATAAAGTTTTCTTCTTAATGGCTGAGGACATAACCCTAAAACCGTCCCGACCAAAAATTATCCCGACGGAGCAGCCTCTTAAAGTGCTTTAAAGATTTCCTATCGACGCACACCGAGTTACGGCCAGAAAGAGCTTTTACTTTGTGTGCGTTCAATTCAGTGATGCTCTGAGCATACAAATTCATTTGTTTAATAATGTACGGCTTTACAGCTCAGCCCTGCCAGATGTACAGATTTTTCCGTACGGAACGGATTTGCATGGGTGAAAATGGTTCTACGGATTCAACGTACGGATTTTTAGCTTTCCGTCAAAATGTACGGATTTTGTATGGATTTTCGGAGTGTCTTTTTCATATTGTAAAAATTTGCGCCATAGGTTTCTTATAGTTCCTGAATCCTCCATTTTTTTATTAAAAAATGCGCTATTTTCGAACTTAACGCGATTTTAAAAATCAAACATGAGAGAGGATTTATTGGCCTTTAAAATTATGTATAACAATCTATAGGTAGACTTCGATTGTTGAGAAGTTTTATCGCGTAAAATTAAAAAAAAAAACCTAAATTTCTTTATTTTTTTTTTAAATTTAACCATCGCTTCAAACATTACACTGTTACTCGGTATGGTCGGCAACCTAACTGAAAAGTTTTAGTACAATAAACTAAGAACACACTGCTTGTTAAAGAGTTCTAGTCGGAAAATAATAAGGTTGTCTGTGAAGCTATCAATAAATAGGACTAGTGGAAATGTGTTGCTTTAGTTGATGTTATTAAAAGTACGATTCCTCTGTTCACCTAGGTTGAATCGATTTTTTTTGTGCTCGCCAAACAAATTTGATCGTACCAATTGTACAACTTGTCCGTGTACGGATTTTAAACTCTAAACTTCTGGCAGCCCTGTTGCACCTTCAGTTTCGGCCTCGCTTCTACTCTGTTTGCAACCTTATAGCTGAATAAAGCGTTGAAAGCCTGAAAAGCTTGTTGTGAAGGCTCCATTAATATCTGGACGACCTGGGAAACGAAAAATAATAGATTTCATTATGAATTTCTTTTGGATTATTTGGGGCTATGTAGTAAAACACTTCTGGTATTAAAGGTTGAAGGGTTCTCTATTATGTCGAAAATATTTGAGAAACCCAAAAAAAAAGTTCGGCTTAAGAAGCGATTTCTCCTAAGATTTGTGCATAAGAAAAGTAAAAACTTTAGAACCCATTTTGGTAGTAAATAAACGGCACGCAGCTGGGTTTGGATTAAGTGCAACATTTATTTTTTTTAATTGGGTACCATTAAAGAAGTAAAATGCCATCTAAATTAAATTATTTAATTTTTAGTTCAAAATAAGGCGATCTTGGAATCGAATGCACGACATTGCAGACTATACGGCATAGAAAATCATTTTGGAAAGGGTTTTATAATGTTAAATTACTGAAATCGACAGGAAAGCTTTTTAGAAACATTAAAAAAAAGTGTAATAGACGCTGTCCCAAACAATTTTACAGTTATGTAAATAAAAGCATTTTTTATTTTTGAAATGTTTATTTTTTCAAGCAGTTTAATAAAATAAATACGTTTTAAATATGACAAAGTTAATGCTTAATATTAAATTAATGAAAATTAAATATACTAAAACATATTTTTTTACTAAATCTATTTTAGCAAATAAATTCTTAAAAAGTTTATCAAATTGGTATTTAATTGATAAAAATTTGAAATTCTAGACATTTTTGGGAAAATTCTTTACTCCAATTTAAAAAATTAAATACATTCTTTGGTTTATTTAGCTGTGGTGTAACTAACAAAATTTTGTTTTAACATTAATTTTACAATTTACATAATTTAAAAAGGCCGAAAGGTTTCTGGAAAGGCCAAATTGTGAAAAAAGTGTATTTACAGCTATAACTAGTGGCAATATATGAAATTCCATAAATATTTGAGCAACAATAAATGAGCAAAAATGCGTACATACATACATATGTACATATTCGTTAGGGCGGGTAAATCTTTTTTTTTTACTATGCGCTTATAGCAAGAAGGATTCGACGTGTAATTCTAAGCGAATTTTCCGAAGAAACCATGTGTCTAAAATCGATTGGGAGTATGCCGAATTGCGAAAATAGGCTTTGAAGAAAATATGAAAATTTGCATTGATGCGCATTCTGGTGGAGGGTACGACACTAATCCCCTATGGTATGTTTTTTTTTTTAATTTAAGCACTTTTTTACGACACTACAGAAAGACGCGAAGAAACCTATTTTTGCAATTTGGCAAACTCCAAATTGATTTAAGACACACGGTTTTTTCGCCAAATTTTGCTTAGAACTCCACGTTGAATCCTTCTGTGTATAGTCGAAAAAATCTCCCATACAAATTGACCAGCCCTAATACATAGTCGTGTGTTTAACGGGTGGAAATTACTATTTATGAAATTTGTATTAACTTTCATTTAAAATTTTATTCCTAACTAACTAAAACTAAGATCTTATAGGCAATACTAAGAAAGTTAGAAAATCAAAGGCTTTGTAACATTTGCATGCCTATAAAAAAAAACGCACACCAACACACAGTCACTGGTTTATGAAAATTTCATCGGACTAATGCTTAAATGCTATTTGCTTAACAACTACATACATACTATACATGCAAACATATCCTGTATGTATGTTTGTGTGTGTAGAAAACTTTGGCTTAAACGACTTAGTATCTCAGCAGACCGAACTGGAACCACACAATGCGTACTGAGCGTAGGTTAACTTAAACTAAATTACCTTTAACTACTTATTTACTTATTTTTCAGTATAAATACTTTTTTATAAATATGTAAATATTATATGCTGTAATAAATATTTACATTGCCTTGTATCTGGGTGTGTGTGTTATTACAACACAAACTTTACCACACACATTTAGCCAATCCATAACGGATATTTGTGCGCCGGTACGATCAACGAACTACCAGTCTTGATGCTGCATAGGGCCTCTTCCGACCCGTACGCGTGTCTTCAGCAGCTGCTGCTGCTCACCTCCATCTTTACGGGCGCCAAAATTTCCTCGTGCCGAGATTCGCGATGACGACGCAGATCCACTTTGCGTTGAAACGACTGATCGCAGAGACCGCAGCCGAATGGCTTATAGCCGGTGTGTTTGCGCATGTGCGTGATGAGATTAGAGCTTTGGCTGAAAGCTTTCAGGCAAACGGTGCATTTATGTGGCTTTTCACCTAAAAAGGAAAAAAGGAAACGAAAGTAGAAACAACGAATTAATCAATAAGTTCATTACGAAGGAAGATATGAAAATCAAGTTTTTATGATCGGTTCGGTGTGATTCAAAACAAATGCATAAACAAAATTTCAATACGCGTTGAAATTGAAAAGTGTATTTACTCGAATTTGTTTTCAAATCGTTTTTTGTTTTTTTTTTATATTTCGCATCGGTTAGAAAATCCGCATAAACGAATAAGTCATTATACGCGAAATCAAAATTGGCTATTGTTTTCTTTATACTGCCCCCGTTTTTAATTGGAATTGTTATGATTATAAATTTGTATTACTGCTCGCTTCCATTTCGGTAGGTACACCGCGCAAATTTATTTAAAAAAAAATTTCGAATCAAACTAACATAATTTGTTTACTTTTCAATACGGTTTTATCGAGTGCGCTATAAAGGCTGAGGAATAAAAGTTAGAAAGAAATAAGTGTTGAATCAAATCGGTTCTTTGTTAATGCGGGTTTTTCGTAGGTATAAACAAGGTAATAAAAATAGTCAGGTGGCGTGAGCTACACAGGGGTGGGGGTGGAGCTTTAATGGTGGAGCAATTAAAAATATTAATCACTTTGTCGAGTTTCCACTGAAGGCAAATAGTATGGAAAGCCTTTTGAATATCCTTTAACCCTTTGTGGGGTAGCCGGTGCAACAAATGATTTTACACGCTTGTGTAACAAAATCACGCAATTAGTAAAATTAAATCAGATAACAGCGGCGTATGTATGTTAGTGTGTACCTGTATACAGTCGCAAATGCATGGCCGAGTGATTTAATTGTTAGCAAAGTGTCGACATTATTGTACGCTTGAGTGACACGTGACTCGCGTTTTCACACAACTAAGTTGGCAACTGAGTGGCCGCCCTAGCTGACTTTTTAAGTGCAGCAGTGCAATAGTGCAATTTTACAAGGTGTGCTATTTTTTTAATGCAACTATGAAGGCGAAGGGAATTACATATGTATGCTTTTTAAAGAATAACTGAAGTTGTGAGGAATTTTATTTTATTGAATTTTTTGAATTGTTACGGGCTTTGCTTCGATTGCTATGCTTTTTTAAGCGCCTATTGTTTGAAATCGGGCAAGAAAGCCTAAACATATTTTATTCCGAATATAATTTGATTATAATTAAAATATGATGAAGCTATTTACTGATAATAATTTAATATTTTGAAAAAAAGAAATCAAATGAAAATTCTCAGAAAAAGTATTTTTCACTTATTACTTAAATTACTTATTTTTTTTATTCCAACTTTCTCAAAAGCCTTAATAAATGTNTTATCAAAATTAAGAAAAAATAGTGCCAAAAAGCTAAAAGAGATATTTTTCATTAAGTTCTTTTTTTATAAAAAAATTGATTGAAAAAATTACTTATTTTTTTTATTCCAACTTTCTCAAAAGCCTTAATAAATGTTATTCTACATTTCAAACTGTAGTGTTTTACATATGCATATTCCTTAGTCTTGAAAGGGTTAAATGAATTGAAGAGGAAAATATGGTTTTTTTGTGCGAATCTCAAACTGATAAGAGTGGTAGAAACAGCAAGAGAAAGATTTACATATGTATGTATTATTTGCGGCCAAAGAGTCAAATTTGAAACTTTGTAAAGGGTAGTAGAAAGTAGAGCTTACTTTTCCTTCTGAAAATTCAACCCCTCCAGGAGCTGTGAGAATTTTCAGAAAGTAAGTAGTAGTAATTGTTCTTACACAAACACCCTGTTCAGACAGTTGTCCACCCAATCAAACAGATTGTTTCACAACTAATGACCGATGGCAAGCGACGATAAGGCGAGTTGTATGCAATAAATTTTACAGCCCATATGTTCAAGTAACACTGAAGGGATTTAGTGGGGTGAATTGCAGAAAAAAGACACTCTACAATTTGATTTCATTTCGCTAACATTGCTGAGGCAAACGCGGGCGCCAACTCTGTAAAGGTATTTTCTTAAAATGTAACATAAACCATTTGAGAATTGCTGCCCGAGACGCTAAATATCTATGAAATCATAAGCACCTGACACGTTACACTCAAATCTTTATAGTGGCTTTTAAACTCACCAGTGTGTATGTATGTGTGCTTCTTCATGTCCGATTTTTGATGGAAACGCTTGCCGCAATATTGACAAGGATACGGCCGTGTATCGCTATGTATCAGCAGATGTGTAGATAAAGTCGACGAACGCTTAAAGGATTTTCCACATTGCTTGCACTGGAAAAAAGAAAATAAGAAAATTTAACTACGTGGGCCATTAAAAATATATACATACACATGCACAAGTAAAATAATACAAATATGGGTTACAAACATAGCGTTACTTCAATGCGGAATGGTGCTGTCTAACATTTTTAATTTTTTCCACAGCAATTATGAGCGAATTTCTTAACACAAAACATTATTTTTTAATAGAGACTGTAACTACTTTAATGATTTATTTGTTGCTTTTTCATTCCATTCGATTTTTGGTTACTAATCTAGCGGCTTTTGTAGAAAACTGGATTTTTGGGAGAAAAGTAGAAACAAAAGAGTGGCTTTCGGGAAGTTCGGTTTCGGGAGTTGTGAAAGAGTTTGGGACTAAGAATAATTTAGAAAAATATTTGGTTATATGTATGTATATGTATTAGAGGGCTGCATGAATTCATTCAAACTTTAGCCAAACAGAGTACATTCGAATATTTTACTTCAGATAAAAACGCTCAGCGTATGGAATTTTGTTATGTTAGTTATGAATATACATTTTGTTTTAAATTTTTTACCTTCGAATGGAAGAATGTGAACGAATAAATGAAAAATATTCAAATAATTCAAACTCATTTTGGTTAAAATTTTTTTCTACAAACAAATTTGTATGTATGTTTGTACACGTGTACATAGACAATTCCATTCGATTTTTGGTTACTAATCTAGCGGCTTTTGTAGAAAACTGGATTTTTGGGAGAAAAGTAGTTAGCACTTTTCTGTTTTAATGCATACATACATACATATCTATTATATTTATTTAAAACTATTTGTACAGCTTTTCAAGAAATTGAGACTCTTTGAAAATAAGTTTATTTAGTTATCACAAAAATATGTACATACATACATATGTATATGTATATACTCATGCACACAAATTAGCTAAGACATATTTATGAAAGATATGTCAAATCTCTTGAGGAAGCCACTAAATACAGATACGCTCGTCAATATTTACTAAACACAGTTAAACAGCTGAGACAAGAGTAGTAGTAAGTATCTGCGTAACTGCGAAATTAAGAATGAAAACAAAAGAGTGGCTTTCGGGAAGTTGTGAAAGAGTTTGAGACTAAGAATAATTTAGAAAAATATTTGGTTATATGTATGTATATGTATTAGAGGGCTGCATGAATTCATTCAAACTTTAGCCAAACAGAGTACATTCGAATATTTTACTTCAGATAAAAACGCTCAGCGTATGGAATTTTGTAAGTTATGAATATACATTTTGTTTTAAATTTTTTACCTTCAAATGGAAGAATGTGAACGAATAAATGACAAATATTCAAATAATTCAAACTCATTTTGGTTAAAATTTTTTTCTACAAACAAATTTGTTCGTATTGTAATAGACATAGACAAGATTTTTATGGATATTCATACAAAAAATTGTCATCTGTTACAATTCAGTTTACTTTCACTTTGTTTGAATATGTATTGTGATGTTGTTGCCATATATCAGAACAGATATTCCCTTAAATTAAAAAAAAATGTCAAGCCAAAATCATTCATTCGTTTTGGAAATTAATAATTCACAAGCCGTTTTGAATGAATGCATGCAGCCCTCTAATATGTACATAGCTGTAAATTTGATTATGTAAAAGAAGATTTTTATTACGTCTATGTAGACCAATATTTATTTACACGAAAATATTTATGTTATACTCATATTTAACTATGTACATGCGGTTTAGATTAGTTAAACCTGGGATGTCACGTGTACGACACGCAACAAAAAGTGGATGCAAGTGTATCGAGGATCCGGTACTCTAAAATACCTACCAAATTTTTTTGTTTTCCTGTGCTGAGCATTATATGCGGGACCAGCGAAAGTAGGATGTGAAGAAGCGCACGTGTCTTACGACTTCACTCACGTCTACCCTCCCTCACTCTTGCCAGACTGCCACGTCACTATTCTTGTATAAGCTAGTTTGCATCGGAGGACCTTTTTAGTAGGCATGATGACTTTAAAAAGTTACCTGCCTCGTGTATTCCTGAGCATTAAAATTAGCCTAGTTGCCATTGAATGTGTGATTTTTTTTTTCTTGGAGTTAAGCTACTTTATGTAGACTGCATAACCTGTTTTTTATATGGAAAATAAGTCTGCTGGGAAGACATTACAGTCATCTTTCGATGAAGACGACGACAATACGACATTCTTCTGAGTGTATTAAGAATATTGCAAAATATTATAAGACAGGCGCCAGTTCTTTGCTACATTTCTCCGGTCGAGCAATGATGTGATAAACCATGGCTTTCGCCGAGACTTATATTTTGGATGTTGTTTAACTTTTGCTAAATAATAATAATTTTCATTGAAATAGCTTCAGGGATACCTGTACTTAAGTTCCAAAATTGGCGTAGAATGTGGCTTTTAACAGATCAATTCTGGCCAAGATAGTAAAAAGTCTTTCGTAAGACAAATGAAAGACAGATGGCAAAATAGTTTGAAAGACTTTTGTTATTCTAGCACAAAAGTCTTAGAAAAAAGCTCTCTCATTGACCACTAGTGAGAAAAAGCTATTTTGAGAGAAAGCACTCGTATGCCATTTAATTCGCGTCGATTCAACAGGCGCAATGTCTAAGTGAGCGCAACACAGGCATGCCGTACGAGAGATCCGAGTTCGAGTCCTAGGGCAGGGGATCGTTGTTTTTATTTTTTTTATTTGTTTCCTTTTTAATTCAACGTTCTTTAAATTTTTATGCTTTATTGTTGTAAAAAGAAAAAATATGTATAATTTTTTTAATTTTATATAATTTTTAGAAACTAATTTTATGTTATTAATCTTTTTTCCTCCTTAATATAATTTTGTTTTAAGTTTTAGATGTTCTTTTAAAAAGAATATTTTTATAATTTCATTTAATTTTTAGGAATTTATATATTTTTTCTAATAAAATTTTTGTCCTTTTGTTTAATTTCATTTAATTTTTTGAAACTTTTTTCTTTAATTTTTTAACTTAATTTGCTTTTTGCTTTTTAATTTGATTTTATTTAATTTTAGCTTTTGTTCATGAGTTTTTATTGTTTCAAAAATAAAAATATATATATTTTTTATTTTATTAAATTTTTAAAACGCATTAATGTTTTGTTCATTGTTCCGCAGATTTCTGTAGCACGAATGAAAAATCGATTTGTTGAAACTCGGCACGACTTGAGTAGACTTGTGACAATTCACTGCTCTTAATACAATACAGCTTTGCTTTCTTCACACTTTCTTATTTTTGTTTGTTTTTGATGCTTTTAAACAGAGACGTCTATAGATCCATAGTTAGTACAGTTGAGCAGGAGAATTTTTAGAAAAAGCTGTGCAAATTTATGATAATTTGGGAAAGAATTTACTTATGTATATGTACATATGTAGCTTTGAGAGCACGTTGTGTTGAGGTTTCACACAAACGTGTCCCCGTTTCATTAGCTAAACAATTGCTGGCGCATAGTATTTTCCTTTGCCTTTTGAAATCATGTGGCTGACTGACTTTTCATAAATCCATAATGATTTTGTTCGAGTCCCAATTGTTTGGCGAGAAACAGCTTTGCAAATAAGTGGCCCCTAAACGACCGAATCAGCAATAACAAATCACAAAGAGTATTTTCTAGTGCATACGGTATTAATATTTTAAATATAGGTGTATACGAAAATTTGTTAGTGTTAGAATGATTATTTAAAAAGGTGAAGTTAGTTTGTGCTTAGCTGTGTAATTTTTCACCTTACAACTACAGCGCTCGGGAGCTGTTTTCCAAGATTTTACATGTTTTATTGTAATGAAATCAAACTAGACATTTATTACTCTGGACTGTACTCAAATACAGCTGAACTAATAGTGAGCTGAACGAGTATATACAACAAAATGAACTCAAAAACGTTCGCTCAGTACTGTGTAGCTCAGAATGAGCGCGAACAATTCTGTTAAATACAAATGTGACTTGTTTTTGTTTGCGCAATAAAATAGATCAGTTGATTTTATTTAACTCACTGATTTAAAGAAAAAAACAAAGATTTTTAATATAGAATTTTGCCTTATTAAGCGGCAAGCGAAACTTTCGTTGAAATAATTTAGATTTACTAGATACATACGGTTATAAAAATTAAATGTGATCGGATATTTCAGAATTTTCAATTCGATTTTTTTTGAGTATGCAGTTTTGTAGCCCATTAATTTTAGTACAAAAAATACAAGTTTAAAGTTAGCAAAAAGTCTTGTTGATTTTTAAGAATTTAGAGAATTTTAGTTGAAGGTGTTTAGGCATTTTTTCCATACAAAATATTTTTGAAATTTTTTTTTTTGTAAGAAAGAAAGGGTGCATTCCAAAACGTCAAAATACAAAGCATTAGTCTCTTTCATTTCTAAACCACACTAGAAGAAAAAATCGTAACCTGGTTGAAAACTAGCATCTAACCGTGGTTGCGCACATAATATATATTGGGCTATATACCTGCATACTCAAACAAGTTCTAAAAAATCGAAAAACAATTTTGAAAGTTTACACAACAACATTCCTGAGTTTTGCACAAAGTTGTGAAATAATTTTTTCTGTTTTTTTATTGGAGTATGAACCATATATTTATAAACAATTAGCGTAAAAAAATTAAAATAAAAACTGTTGGATATATTGTAAAAAATTCTCTGTGCCAATACTCTTTTCGGCAATGTACATATAAACGAATACGTATTCAGCCTTATCATGAGTTTCATTATCCCCGAACCGGTTCACTTTTCACGTTTGGCTTCCATGTATTTACTATGAGCGGAATAAAAATTTTCGGGCGAAACTCAGGATAAGGCCGATTTTGTTCTTGGTGAGTTTAAAAGAATTTTTGAAAGATGTATTTTAGGGGGAACTTTTCTGGCGTACATAACTAGACCCAAACTTGAGTACACATACATATATATTTTGTCATTTAAACTTTTTTTTCTTTTTTCTTTTGTATATTTCTGTTTGTATATTTGATTTTTTTTTGGGATATTTCGGA